ACTTGTCATCCCTTGGGGAGCTCTGGTGAACAGGCCTGATCCTGATGCAACCCCTTATATACTTATAGGCTGCCTCCAGGTCACCCCTAAGCCTGCACTAGTCCCTTTGACTGTACGCAGGGAATTTAGCACTTACCTGTCTTTGCTTATGCCAGCCTTAATACACAGGGTTCTCTACCATGTCCCCATACCTTCTATTTGAACTCCCTTTCTTGTAGCCCTGGGGGTGAGATTTAATCTGACGTTGAACCGTCACATATCTCAAACAAATTGTAAAAGGAAGGGTACTCTCATATTTGCAAGCTTGTCTGAGTCTATGCAAACCATGCTTACAATGTATGTGTCACATTTCCAACTGGTGTGAATATGCGTCACACCACTAAAGCAAATGGATCCAGTCCCTATCTGGTGGAAACAGATGTAGCTCCATTCAAAGCACTAGAAGAGATCCCTAAGATGTGTAAATCTGTTAAGCTTCACTGAAGTCAACAAAACTGTGATGGTTTCTTGAGAGCCTAGCTCTAAAAGTTGCTTTCTGATTCTTTTCTCCTATATACCAACTTTATACCACTTTCAGTACTTTGACACCTGTGAAGCCCCTGGTAAAAGTAGATCCCATTTTAGTTTGGAGCGTCTTTGTAGCCATGAGGATGTAGGAACGGTATGAGAATCAAAATTTTTGTTGCAAAACCTCTTATTGGACTAACCGTATTGTTGGGAGAGAAGTCAGACAAGGTTTTGAGCATGTGTTGCCTTTCTTCTGGTCTGCAGAAGGGCAGTGTGTACCTGGAAGCTTATTAAACTTCCCTCCCAACAATACACTTGTTCCGGGATAAGACACACTGCTTCCAATTTTATTTATTCTTTTTCTTCTCATAGCTGTCATGAAATGACTGTCAGTAGAAAAGCAGCCGTACATTTTAAGATGCATTGTCAATCCACAGAATAAAAGCTTGATTGTGCTCCAACACAACATTTCCGTTCGTTTAACTACATAACTGAGCTGGAGCTTACTTTGGTGTGAACTAGCCCCGCTTCATTGTCTTTAGTGGGCACTGGAATCTGGACCCTTTTGACCAGATCCTTTTTCCTCTATTAGGTGCCTACCTGGACTTTGTTACATAAATGTGTTACTAGGAGTAGAAACCTGTTGAGATGCCTAATAATTCTAGGGAATGGGGGTGGGAAGGGACTTCAGGAGGTCAAAACAGGACCCTGCTCAAACAGACCCATCCTCAACTACAGCATCCCAGCAAAGGCTTTGTGTACCTAGGTGTTAATAACTGCTAAGGATGGAGATTCCAGAAACTCTCTGGATAACCCACTCCAGTTCTTTACTATCCTCCTCATTAGAAAGTGTTTCCTAATAGCTAACCTAAACTTCCCTTGCTGCAAGTTGAGACCATTGCTCCTTGTTTTGCCATCTGCCACCACTGAGAACAGTCTATCTCCATCCTCCTTGGAACCCGCTTCAGGTGGTTGAAGGCTGTTGTTAAAAGCCCCAGACCACATAAGCCCAGTTCCCTCAGACTCTTCTCAGAAGTCATGTGCCCCAGCCCACTAACCATTTTCTTTGCCCTCCACTGGACTCTCTGCAATTTGTCCACATCCTTTCTCTAGTAGGGGCCCCAAATGTGTCCCCTTTCTCTAGTAGGTGCACTCCAGACCTGCTGAATATTATTTTTAGGGGGAATAATCACTTCCCTCAATCTGTTGGCATAATTCCTACAAATGCAGTCAGGGGTGCACTGGGGCTCTCAGGGGGTGCATGTGCACCCCTGTGCACCCCTTACGCATCATCACTGAAATTGTCCTCGGAACTCACCCCTGGGGCACTCTACTTCATACCAGCTGCCAGCTAGACATCAAGCCATTGGTTACTGCCCTCTAAACCTGACAATCAAGCCACTTTTCTATCCACCTTGAAGTCTACTTCATCCAACCCATACTTCCTTAGCTTGCTTGCAGGAATGATGTGCAAGACAGTATCCAGAGCCTTGCTAAAATCACGGTATATCACATCCATTGCTCTCCCTGCATCAACAGAGCCCATCAAATCATCATAGAAGGCAATCAGGATTAACAGCTGTGACTTGCCCTTGGTGAACCCATGCTGACTGTTCCTAATCACCATCTTCTCCTCCAAGTGCTTACAAATGGATTCCTTGACAATGTGCTTCATGATTTTTCCAGGGACTGAGGTGAGGCTGACTGGTCTGTAGTTCCTCAGATGCTCCTCCTCCTTTTTCTTAAAGATGTGCACTATATTTGTCCTTTTCTGGACTTCCCTCGATCACCATGAGTTTTCAAAGATAATGCCCAGTGGTTCTGCAGTCACTTTGGCCAACTCTCTCAGCACCCTTGGGTGCATTTCATTGGGCCCCATGGACTTGTACACATCCAGTTTTTCTAAATAGTCCCTAACCTGTTATTTCACCATTGTTGCCTGCTCTCCTCCTCCCCAAATTGTACTGCTAGGTGCAGTAGTCTGGCACTTGACCTCTCCTTTGAAGGCAGACATTTATACTCTCTCTCAACAAGGGGAAAACTGCCATGAGTCAGGTTGTACCAAACATGCACCAAGTTATCATGAAGTAGCAAGTCTTCCCCCTTATTTATTTCAGGGACACTTCTTTAATTTCCTGTCCTGACAGAATCTTTGAAAATTATAGTCAGACATGATAGCAAGAGCAGCCAGGTACCAGGCACTGAGAGAAGAAGTTAAGACGACTAGGTCTAAGCACGATCCAAGTCAAAAGCTGCAGTGAAGGCCAGATAAAGTTTGCCCTCAATGATTCCTAAGCACCTAAGATTTAGCTTTAGTACCCCTTTGGAAGCAATGCAATTTAATCACCTAGGAGCCTGTTTCCCTTTTAGGTTTACCTATAATGTAGATAGATGCTGGAGGGGTGACCAGTCCTTTGGGGGAATCCAATCCAGTGGGTGTGCTCAAGGAGAGCAAGGAGAGTGCCCCCACTCCCAACCCAAACCAACTGCCCATCCTGCATTCACAATCTCCATGAACACCAGCAACATTGTGTATTTCTTCCCCAACTTCCCTCCTATCCGTCCCCACTGCCACTCCCCCGCTTCTCAGCTTCCTTACCCGCTATTCATAGATTCATAGATATTAGGGTTGGAAGGGACCTCAGTAGATCGTTGAGTCCGAACCCAGGGCAGGAAAGAGCGCTGGGGTCAGATGACCCCAGCTAGGTGGTTGTCCAGTCCCCTCTTGAAGACCCCCAAGGTAGGGGAGAGCATCACCTCCTTGAAAACCTATTCCAGATTTTGGCAACCCTTATTGTGAAGAAGTTCTTTCAATTAGTCCAACCTAATCTCTCCATCAATTTGTGGCTGCTGGTTCTAGTTACTCCAGGGGGGGCCCTAGTAAATAGAGCACCGTGCTGATTTCCTTTCAGAATTACTTTCCCTGCTGGGCTCCCACAAATGTGATCCTTAATGATTTTTTCAGGAGTTTTCCCAAGGATAGAGGTGAGACCAACTGGCCTATAGTTTCCCAGTTCCTCCCTCCTCCCCTTCTTGAGAATATCCTGATTTTTCCAGGGACTGAGGTGAGGCTGACTGGTTTGTAGTTCCTCAGATCCTCCTCCTCCTTTTTCTTAAAGATGGGCACTATATTTGTCCTTTTCTGGACCTCCCTCGATCACCATGAGTTTTCAAAGATAATGCCCAGTGGTTCTGCGGTCACTTTGGCCAACTCTCTCAGCACCCTTGGGTGCATTTCATTGGGCCCCATGGACTTGTACACATCCAGTTTTTCTAAATAGTCCCTAACCTGTTATTTCACCATTGTTGCCTGCTCTCCTCCTCCCCAAATTGTACTGCCAGGTGCAGTCGTCTGGCAGTTGACCTCTCCTTTGAAGGCAGATGTGAAAAAGGCATTGAGCACTTCAGCCTTTCCTGCATTTTCTGTCACTAGGTTGCCTTCCCCGTTCAGTAAAGGACCCACCCTTTCCCTATCTAGAAGCTATAGTGGCAGAGGCAAGAGAGACTAGATAGATTGAGAGCTGGGTAATGAGCAGCGAATACTGACAGCAGAGGACCAAATGCAACAGAAGCTTGTGGAAACCCCCACAAAGACCAGCACGGTAAGTTGCTTCAAGTCTGAATACACAGAATTGGAAGCGAAGGGCATAAAGAAAGTCAGTGAGGCTGGGATTCTGTGTTTTTGGCCCTGTTACTGCAGGCTAAAACTGACTGCTGTGTAGCAATCACCGGAGTAAGGCAGACTCCCTCCAAAATCCTGCTTTTGGTCCTGGTGGCAAAGTGACAGCTTGGTTATACAGAGCAGAAGTATCCGAGTGATAGTAGTACCTCCTTTTCACATAGAGATGACAATCCAGCTCTTATGCAGCCCCATATGCTAGTTTGCAACCAGGTGGCAGTCAGTCTGCGTGCAAACCTTTGGTGTGGAATTATTTCTTACAAGCAGGTCCTGTGTGGTATATCCTCGGGAAGATGGAGCGATGCCATGTTGAAACATTACTGTTACTGTTTGCTAGATGCGCTGTATGTTTTTTTTCACAGTGGGGTTGGGACCTTTTTTACCTAAAGGTTTAAACCTAAAGGTTGTATTTGCTCTTATTTTTTCCAGCCAAGTTTTGGGATAGATGCTGCAGGTGACACAGCCCTGTGAATGCTACAGAAGTTCTACCATGTAACAGTAGTTTCATAATGAACCTGAATACAACACGAATTTTAAAAGTGTAGTGAGTTTACACCTCCTAGCTGATAGCAAGAATGTCATCTGTCTAATAGTGCCTGCTGAATAACACTATTGCTGTTTTGTATCCAAATCAAAATATTCCTTCAAAACCAAACTTTTCCCGTAGACTAAAGATTTGGCTCCAGTTGATCCTGTGTGTATTTGAAAGTGAGCGTGTGAGATGTTTTTGACAGGAGAATCAGAGCCATTCTGATACTGATTGCTGAGCTTTTTGTTCCCTCCACAGGCATCATACAATGGTGTGAAGAAGGCCATGTCCAACCAAACCACTGTAACTGAGTTCCTCCTCCAGGAATTTTCCGACAGCCGGGAGCTGCAGCTTTTACACTTTGCCATATTTCTAGCAGCGTACCTGGCAGCTCTGATAGGGAATCTCCTCGTTATCATGGTAGTAGCCCTCGACCACCACCTTCACACTCCCATGTACTTCTTCCTCCTGAATTTGTCCATCCTCAACCTGGGAACTATCTCTGTCATTGTCCCCAAATCCATGGGCAATTCCCTGTGGAACACCAGGTTGATTTCCTATGCTGGATGTGTTGCCCAAGTTTTCCTCTTCTTTTTCTTTGCTACAGCCAACGTTGCCTTCCTCACCATCATGGCTTATGATCGATACATTGCCATCTGCAAACCACTGCACTATGAGACCATCATGAACAGGAGAGCTTGTGTCAAACCACTGCACTATGAGACCGTCATGGACAGGAGAGCTTGTGTCCAGATGGCAGTCAGTGCATGGGTCAGTGCCATTCCCTACCCTGCACTGCACACTGGTAACACTTTTCGGTTACCTTTCTGCCACTCCAACATCGTCAGCAAGTTTTTCTGTGATGTCCCCCAGCTGCTCCAGCTCTCCTGCTCTGACTCCTATCGCAGTGAAGTTGGGATTATTGTCTTTAGTACGTGTTTATTTTTGATCTGTTTTGTTTTCATCGTTGCATCGTATGTTCAGATCTTTACTGCAGTACTAAGAATCCCTTCAGAGCAGGGCCAGCATAAAGCCTTCTCCACCTGTGTTCCTCACCTCCTTGTGGTCTCCTTGTTTCTTCTCACTGGCATTTCGGCTTACTTGAAACCAACTTCCAGCACCCCATCCATTCTGGATCTCATAGAATCTGTCCTTTATGCCATATTGCCGCCAATGGTCAACCCTGTCATTTACAGCATGAGGAATAAGGAGATCAAAGCTGGCCTTGGGAAAGTGATTGTCTGTAAAATATTCACTGGGAAGCAAGTGTCCATCTTTTTCTCAAAAGTGTTATTTAATTATTTTTTTTCTGCATTGAGATATATATGTGTGTGTGTGTGTGTGTGTAGTATAACTGATAGATATGTTCACCAAGTAAAGCAGGGTGCAATCCACACCATCTTCACTGATGTAAGTAAAGTTACTCTAGATTTAAATCATCTTAATTGCAATTAGACTTCCTATACTTAGAAGTTGATGCTACCATCTTTCCCATCTCAAAGGAGCTTGGTGTGAAAGTGCTCGAGGTATGTTGCTACAGCTCCAGCAAGTTAAGATTAACCTTGCTCTTCCCCTGTGCTAATGCCCCTGCTAATTCAGGTCACCTATAAATGTGAACTTGGTTAATAGTCCTTCATGGTCAAAGTTTGCTGGATGGGATGCTAGACACGTGCTATTTTGCTACTGGAACTGGGTCACTGTGGTAATTCATCACCTTCCTTGTCAAATCAATAGCAGAGACAAGTCTCTAGTGGATTACAGGGAATCAAAGGTGTTCTGTGGGATGAGAGCTTACCTGTGTTTCTTAAAAGCATACTCCTCATCAGTCAGTCAGTGGGCTTTTTTTCTTCAGGATAGGTATTTGGAAGTACTTGGGCAGATGGATGCACGGAGGGTGGGCGGGGTGGTGGTGAGGAAATTAGGAATGTTTGCTTAGATGCCCATCTGCATGATTTCTCAGCTAGTATTTCCTTATATCATGGTTTTTCTTTTTAAAAGGGGAATCCCAAGAGAGAGAATATTTTAATGCTGCTGATATTATTGAGTTATTAAAATTGAGTGTGTCCACATATAACCTTGACTAAGGGTCTTTTTTTTAATCACGTTTAACATGTTCTGTCATCTACCACCACTGAGAACAGCCCAGCTGCATCCTCTTTGGTACC